GAGTGCCTACAGACAGTCCTGGCCAGACAGCCCCAACTACCAGTCAAGCTGTCAGCTACACAATTTGTCCTGGCTCCAACCCAAAGTGCGATTGGTTTGTCATCGGGATGGGGATGCTGTAACTTGAGCATTCTGTGCCATATTAACCACAAGTAATATTTTCACTTGGAAGCGGGGCAAATGGCAAATGAGCGAGAGCCAGAGGAGAGGGCCGAGTGGCAACAATAGGGGCGGGCGAGAGGGTCAACCATTTATGCACAGTTATTGAAAAAGTTTTTCAATTTGAGAGAAAGCTTTGCACAAAACCAAACTAAGCCACGACAAAGGGGTTAAAAATATGAGTAACATAATAAAAATGAGTGCCAGCCAGCCCCCTGCGAGTATTGTCTGACTCCGAACGAGTGAGTCGTCCCTGCCATCAGCGTTTCTTATTTTTTATTTAAAAAATTGTTTTGTGGCCCATTCACCACATTCAAGGTCCCAGCACAGAAATTTGCTGCTGGGGCTGCTGCTGCTGCTGCGAGCAAACCCAAATTGGGCTACCAAAATAAAGCCCAAGACGTAGTCCAGGCACAAACACGAAACACGAAGCACAGAGGCGAAATGGAATACATATAAAATAGCAAGAAACGGATGAGGAAGAGAAGCAAAACCAGCCAAACAAACAAACAAACACACACAAGAGGCCCACCAGGCTCCAGCTCTGGCCCTGTTGTGGCGGCCCAGGGCCTTCAGCGATTTTTCACAACACAATTTAACAAATAAAAGCAAAAAGGAAAACTACAAAAAAGAATAAATAAGAGGGAAAAAAACTTTTATGAGCACACGCACACAAATAAAACAATAAAAGCCGCACACAAACACAAACACTCACAGACACAGACACAGGCACTGACAAGAACAACAACAAGTTTATTACAGATTTTACTTATGTGTTTTTGGTTAGTGGGGAGGCGGCAGTGGCAGTGGCAGTGGCAGTGGGAGTGGGAGTGGGAGTACGCGCAAGAGGGTGGTCTGGTCCCTTTTTACCGCAGGGCATTAATAAAGAGAGAACAACATGACGGCAGAATGCGAATGGAAGCCAATGACATGTGTTCCCAAGAAGTCGCACTCCCGCTGCTGGAACTGACAAATCTCTGCAAGAACAATACCACCCAAGGATGCCACCACAAACATTTTACTTTTCACCAACAGATATGAGTTGAAATAGGTCTGAAACTAACTGAATGGCGGCTTAAAATCCGCCTACATAAAGGAATCAAGCTGTGATCTATACAAAGGAAGAAATTTTGTTGAAATTTACCTGCAAAAATAAAAGTACGAGTACGTTGCACATCCTCATTATTCATAGCGCACGAAATGAATTCCAATGGGGAATATTGAAGAATCTGCTCTCTATTGAATCAACACCGAAACGAAACAGGAGCCATTGAAACTTTTGTGCGAAACACGAAAGAAACCAATTTCCGAACACTCTCCAAGCAGCGACGAGAGGGCCTACACTTGAGCCATGAAAAACCTCAACAGCTTGCTCTGCCTTTCGTTATCGATATGGGTTTTCAATTCGTTCAACGTCGCCCCTTCTCCACCCCTCTTTGCCACCCTGTCTGTCAATATCTTAGTATGTCTGGGCGATGCGCACAGCCGCCAAATTGCCAGCTCGTTCAGGCTGACAGTCGAAAGCCTGAAATAAACTTTAATTTGAAAACTTTTATGCGCAGCAAATAAAAGCAAATCGATGGCTGCGAATCGCCAAAGTGTCGCAGCAAATTGTTTGCCAAGTGCTGGACATTCTGCTTAAAGATGCCGGATTTCTGCGCCATTCCGAATCCCACTCCGAGTCGCACATGCATATGCACGTACCCGCACGTGCAGCCAGGCGTGCCTGACATTGACACAGATGCAGGATTCGCCACTATCGGCGTCCATGTCGCTCACCCAAGGTGAGGGCGAACTCTATGAAGCCAACGGCAAAGCGGAAGTTTATTAAAAAGGCAGCAAACAAACACAGTAGCGGGGAGCGAGGAATGGGGGCATAAAAATGGAGGGAAGCGCACTATAAACAATAAACATGCCCGGCATGCTGAGCAAAGAAAGACCAACCAACCGAACAACCAACCAACCCACTAGCAATAGCATTTCCATGCAAATAAAGCAGAGACACACACAAAGACTTGGGTGGAAAAGGAGTAAATGCTGCGCATTACGTATACGCCAGCGTGGCTGGAAAAATGCTGAGCTTGAACTGCAGCCAGCCGAGACGGGGAATAGATACAATTTTGTGTGTATTTTGTTGCACCATTGAGCGCGCCACTGAAGCAAAAAGCAGAGTCTCAAGCAAGGGCACGGGCACGGGCACGGAATGGCACTGCAAGGCACTGCTCGGCGGCACTCAATGAAATGCAATGGGTGAGACGAAAGCAGACGAGGAGTCCCGGGCGGCCATATGGCTGTCCTTGCTGTCAACTGCATTTGCATTTGTTGATAAAGCCATGTTGGGTTCGGCTTTGGGTTTCGGTTTGGTGTTTGGGTTTGGGTGTTTGGGGGTTCGTGCTGGGCATCTAAGTACGTATAGAATAAATCACTGACGTATGTATGGCATCTGGGGAGGGGCGCTAGAAAATCCAATTTCAGCTCTCACCCAGAGTGCGCCTTGGATTTTATTTAAGCAGCACGCTTTCCTTTCTCAATTTTTTTCTGCAGCTTTTGGCCTTTGCATCTGTGCTTGTGCCCCGCCTTTGTGCTGATGCTGCTGCTGCTGCTCCTTCTGGCATTTGCTTCCTCGAATAATGTACTCAAGCATGTCTGTGCACTGCAAGTTATTTGCTTTGTCCTGGGCATTTGATTAACTAACAAAAATATGCAATGAAAAAACTAACTAAGAGCCGGAGCAAAGGAGAGTGGAGTGGAGTCGCGTTCCATATAAATTTTGCAATATAAACCCAGGGTGGCAGGCAGGGGGAGACCAGCATGAGAAAATTCCTTCAAACAACCCTCGCTAATGTCGGATCGTAAAACACAGCCAGAGTACAGGAAAAATATGGCACAGCAATTTGCAAATTATTTTCAAGCTGGCATAAAATAAACTGACAAGCGGCGGGCTGGGCCGGCCCGGGGAGGAGACCTCTCAAAAAAGGGACCCCAGTGGAACTGTGTGGGGATGCGTCAATCTTCTGCGAGCAAACAGACAGCCTCAGCCCACGTTGTTGCTGTTGATATTTCCCCCATTTGTTGTTGGTTTTTGGAATCGACTTTCATGTCAATTGACTTGCGTACATCTGCCTGTCTGTCTCTCTAGGGGGGGTGAGATGGTGGTGGCGGTGATGCCATCCGGGTGGTGCGTTGACTGAATGTCGCCAAACTTATGGCCCAAATTTTACTGTTACTCGTTCTGTTATGTAAGCAAACGGCAGGCAGCAGATGAAATGAAACACCAGCTCCAGCTCCATCTCCAGCTCCCTGATGATATTTGTCAATAAATTTAACGTAAACCAGCCAGGGCTTTTTCTATATATAAACTCGTGTATATTTTTATATTTGTTTGTTTGTGTGTGTGTGTTTGTGGGCTTGGCTTATATTTGTATGCAATAAAGGCAAACAATTTACAAATAAAGCTAATAGACATGACTGGCTCCCACAATGTGCACATTGCAATAATTTCCTTAAAGGGTGATGCCAGTTTCAAGCAGAATTTAAACAACAACAAAAAAGATAATCCAACTCTAGTTGAGAAGGCTTGATCCACGGAAGCCATTGGGGTGTCAGCTGCTTTCACATGTCAAAACTGTCAAGGTGTCTACGCGTTGATCCATTAACAAATGTTACCCTTTCTTTATTACACTTTCCGACACTTTCAATGCAGAAACTGTAAGTTTCCAAATAGATAAAAATTTTAAGACTTTTCCCAGTTAGTAATTTAGTGGATGGAATGGCAAAATATTGGACCAATGCTCAGAGGTCCAAATTTATTCTTTCGGAGTAGTGGAAAATCGTTAGCGATTAAAAAAAATTAAAAAATACTCCATACTCTATTATTTATATTATCACTAGGTTGATGAAAATGAGTCTGTTAAGAGTCTGTTTATTGAGTCGAATCACAAAACGGACTCTTGCTCACTGACACTCTGTTAACCCTGCAAAAATGATCACCCTTCGCATTCATCCATCAATGCACTGCATTGAGTATACATACTCGTACCTTCACTTGGGTTGGGCTCTCAAAATGCCATGTTCGACTTTAAGTAGACATTGACAAATTAATTTACCGGGATTGGGTTCTCGCAGTAAAAAATACAAGCCATGCGAGGACAGGACAAGACAGCACAGGAGCGAGCCGAGCCGAGCAGAGCATACATTCGAGCGTCATTAGGCCGGCAATGAGTAAATCAAATTTGCGTCGTTTTGGGGCCAGATGCTGTGGGTTGTCGGTTGACAGTTGGGTTGCACACTGGCTTTCCTGTCGCTTGTCTACGGCGGAAATGAAATGACCCAGTTAAATGATTTATGGCAAACAGACGGACACACACACACACTTGGGCCTACATACATATGTTTGGAGCGGGTTCGGGCGGGTTTATTGCCGGAGCTTAGTGGTGTGCGGCTGACAGGCAGGCAGGCAATCCAGTCCGTCCATAAAAGCAACCCGTCCGCTTAGGCTGGACCCAAAAATCATGGCTCGCTGCTGTTGCTGAGCGTGTTAAAATTATAATTTCATTAGCTGCAATCAACATAAAAATAACACTAAAGCCAACTGCCAAAGCGCTTTGAAGTCGTAAAGCCAAAGTAGAAATTAAGAAGGGATAAAAAATACACACACACACAGATACACCCACACACCCCCCACAGATACGCAGATACACAGATACACGCTGCAAGAGCTGAGAGCGAATTAAAAGCAAGTTTTACCTTTGGCACATTTTGCATTCACACAACAACAGAAAAAAAAGCAAAAGCAACAGCAAACGCGTAATTACAAGCAATTTTTTCACGTTTTATTACAGATTTTATACACGCGACAACAACGGCAACAACGACGACAGGGGAGCACTTCCCACTGTAATGTGACAACAGTTGGCCATAACAACAACCAGAACAAAGCGCCAGAACAACAGGGACAAGGACAACAACAACGTCAGAGGAGCAGGAGCCATGCTGTACGCTTTTTAATTGACATTTGCTCGAGTTGAGTTGCGTTTTGTTCAACAGCAATTAGCTGGCGAAGGAAAACTTACCCGAAACAGCAAAAATACAAAAAAACCAAAAAAAAAAGAAGACGGGAAAAAAGCCAGGAAAAGAGAGTGGGGGAAAATAACAAAAGAGAGCAATTAAAATTGTAAAACAATTGCAGAACGCTGAATTGAAAGGCGAAGAGCAATAACAAACGACCCGCGGCCAAAATAGAATGATCAAATTGATTTAATTAAAAATTCAACATTTCATTTCGCCCGGCACAGCCCGGCAATGAAATTTTAACAAGAACCTTGAGCAATGGCCGCCGGAACGGAAACGCAGCCATTGCCATTGGCAGTGCCCTCAGGCTCCGGTTCAGGCTCACGCTCAGGCTCAGGCTCAGACAGCGACTCCGGCACCTGCTGTTGACAGTTGTCACATGCTCGGCCAAAGGCGCGCACGTGACGCCGCCCAACAACCCAGCAAGTGAATGAATGAATGGCTGAATAAGGAAATGAATGACCCAGCACCCGGGCACCCGGATCCGAAACCAGAACCAGAGTCAGCCATATTCAAAATTGAACGTTAAACGTTTGCACGTACAAAGCATAAATTCCAAGTGAAATAAAGGCCATTTGCCATCAGGAAAAAGAGTCTACCGTAATAGCGGAAAACGGACAGCAGCAGAATGGTGAAAATCGTGGCATTCAAGCCACCCCTGGGCATGGCCCTGCTTCTGGCCTGGTCACTCCTAACAAGGGTTGTGTGCGCCCAGAGTGAGGAGGGCCATGCCACGGCCTCGGCTCGGGCTGCTGCCGACAGGAAGGAGCAGCAATTGTCGCTCCAGCCCCTCGGCCTTAGCTACCAGAGCATCCACCGCATGCTGCGCGACGAGAACGAGCCGGCCAGCTTCAGGGGCGAGCAGCGTTACCAGCAGAAGCGTTTCATCCAGACGAGGCAAAAGCGAGAGTTGAACGCGCCCGCTAACCGGCTGAACCTCACCAACCGCGGTCTGCGGCAGTACAACAGCAGCAGTGGCCAGTGGAAGGGAGACCTTCAGGTTATCACGTCCATGGATCTGAGCAACAACCGCCTGAGCCGCCTCAGTATCGATCACTTCCAGCAGCTGCGGCAGCTGGATGTGAGCAACAATTCGCTGAGCGGAATACCTTTGAGCCTGGCCGACACTAGTCCCACTCTACCGCTAGTGACGCTCGATCTCTCCTGCAACCAGTTCAGCCGGCTGTCGTCCAACTTCTTTGTCCAGCGCCTGCCGCAGCTGCGGCACCTCAACCTGGCCCACAACCGGCTGGGGAACGTCTCGCGCGAGACGTTCTACAATCTGCTGGAGTTGCAGACGCTCCTCCTCAGCCACAACAACATCTCGGACATTGACTACGAAACGTTCCTGGCTCTGCCCAACCTGCAGCACTTGGACCTGTCCCAGAACCGACTGAGTGGATCGGCCATTCGGGCCCTTCAGGGCATACCCGACCTGGTTAGCCTCTCGATCGCCCACAACCCACTGGTCGGGGCTGCCATGCAGGAGTTTGTGGCTTCCTGGAGTCTCAAGGAGCTGGATGCCAGTGGCACAGGCCTGTGCCAGGTGCCAGCCGCCCTCGCCCAGTCAGTGCGCACTCTGAAGCTCTCCGACAACTGGCTCAAGGTAGGTCCAAAACCATTCCACATTGTACGTAATCGATAAATTGCCGACTCCATGAGCCGTGCAACTCCAGTCGGAGCCAATGAACCGCAATTTGACGCGTTTGCCGACAATTAACGGCCCATTCCGAGCAGACACTTGCCATCATTTGCTCTGCCTCTGCCTCTGCTCTGACTCTGCATCTACAGGTTCCATCTTGGTGCTCGGGGTACTGCTGCCATTAATTAGCATCTGTTATGTGGCCTGGGCTCCTCTGTGGGCTTGAGTGCGCTTCCTCCCCAAGCCCCAGGCCTAGGCACCAGCCGCTAGTCCCGCTCCACATCTCCACTTCCGTGCCAACCGAAGCAACCGCAAGGCAATCTTGCCACGCGTATGATTTATACTTTGTTATTTTTAAATGTGCCCCACCATTTTTCATTTTTTTTTTTTTGCCTCTCTTTCGCTTCCGCCGTCTGTGCGGCAGAGAGGCAGAGTGGATAGATAGGGAGGATAGAGGCAGGACGGAGGCGGTAGGGAAATTTTATTTTCTGTTAATTTTAGCATTGAGAGTTATTATAGAAAAACAGGAAATTTATTTTATTGATTCTCTCGGCACTCAACTGAATTTGGTGGAACAAATGCGGCCATCAATATCAAATTAGCAAAGTTTAAAACCAATTTGTGGAGGGAAAATATTCCAAAATGTTCTGTTTCTAAACTGTTTATAATTATAAGTTTGTATAAGGAGAGTATGAAAAGAAAATTACTCACTCACATATGGCTTAAAAAGAAATTTTCAGCAAAAGCTAAGCCAAATTTTCTGCTAAAATGTGGAATTTCTAATAGTATTTAAACTTAAACTTAGAGGTTTAATATATGTACCATATATTTATTCTTTGTATTTTATTTGTAATGGTTAAAGCGAGATGGTGCACAAGATTACAAGTGATATGCGATGAAAACTTATAAAATTTCTCCTATTCTGTGGTCCAATTTTAGTAAATTTTTCACGCTTATCAACATTTATTAATACGCTTTCTCCAGTAAACTTTTGACTAGCATTTCTCTTCAGAAAGCTCAATCCAATTGCTCATATAAAACTGTGTGTTATTCTACCCCATAACTTGTGGGATTTTATTAAACTCAAGCTCACAGTACTGGCTGAAGGCTGATGGCGACCTCGAGTGCTAGTGCGAGAGTCCAGTCAAGAAAATATTTGCCCCGAGTGGAAATGCAAGCATTGTTCAACTGTTAGTCGGGCTAAGAGGACACGCCACTCAGGTCCAGTTAAGAACGTAATTAAAACACAATGTGGCCACACAATGGAATAGCAAAGTGCACTTCTCACTTTTCAACAAATGCGGGAGTGTGGAAAACAAAAGAAAATAATAGAAAGGCCAGCCAGCAGCGCATCAAGTCTTAATAAGTAATTCGCCCCAAAGCAAAATGAAGAAAAACAAAAAAAAAAAACAGAATGAGATGCTGGGCTGCTGGGAAGAAGCTGAAAGGAGGCCTAAAGTAGACACTGTTAGCTTGATTGGCATAAGCAGCAACACGAGCTGGAGATTAGGGCGGCAGACATTTACACAAAAAACAGCAAACAGATTTATATGGAAACAAAAATAGACAATCCCGATTGCATTATGAGCATAAAGCGCCGCCAGCCCCAACGCTCAGGCTGAGGCTGAGCCCGGGACCCTCGTTCAGGTATTATGCTTAAACGGCTTCAAGTGTAGACAAGCAAATGCGCCGCATAAATTGGTTGCCGTTGCCGTTGCTTTTGCCGTTGCTGTTGCCTTTGTCCATGTCGATTATGGCCAGAAGCCGTAAAAGGTGCAAAAATGCCGCCTCGTAAGCTGTTTAGGGCCAGAGACAAAGGAACCGGGCCCGACGCTGACGCTCGGCATTAATAAAATAAGGATAATTGGCATAAGCATAATCACGTTTAAGCCAGCAGCCAACGTGCAGCTGGGACGGCTGGCTGACACACGGAGCCCCCGTCGAAGTGGCAGCAGCAGCAGCAGCAACAGCCCAACTATCTATGCAGACGCTTCCGCTCCTCGAGTGGCTCTTCCTCGCTGCTGCTGCTGCCTCTACTGCTCCTGCTCCTGCTCCTGGTCCTGGTCCTACTACTCCCGGGTGCCTTTGTTGCCAAGCCATTTTAATTTGCTCGCCTGCCAACGCTTTTGCCGCTGCTTTTATCGGCAGTCAACACGCAGCCTTTTCATGGCAAATTATGGCGTTTAGGGGCCCGGCCCCCCACTTCCATGCCGTTTCATACTACTCATACTACTCATTCTCCAGTCTTCGCTCCTCGCTCTCATGTCTGGGGCAGCACTGCCTGAGGACAGAGACGACGGCAGGCTGTCTGGTTGGTTGGTTGGTTGCCTGGATGACTGGCACTCGTTTCATTTAACGAGTCGCGTCTATGTTTACTTTGGCGCTAGACCTAGACGAGCACTGCCCCCGGGCACTGGCAGTGGCAGCAATCGGCAGCAAAAGGGGCACAGCGCCTGACGAGTCTTTTGAAGTAATTATAATGGCAGATTTAAGTTAATTTTTAAACAATGTCGCCTGCGCATGCAACTCCCACTTTTCCTCCCCATGTCAGCGACTAATCAAAAGTCCCTACGAGGACTAACTTTTAGAGTGGTTTTGGGTGGGCTTTCGGCCACGGCTAGACAGAGATTATTTTGGTTTGACCATCGTACAGATCACAGCCCTAAGAAAGGCATTGAAAACGACTCTTATATTTTATTTATGTACTCCTATATATAGTTAATTTTTTTTCTTTCTTGCAGGCCATCAACTGCGGCGACATGGACAGCTACCCGTTGCTGCAGTACCTAGATCTGTCCCATTCTCGCATTGCCCATGTGGAGGACGATGCCCTGGGCCGCTTGGAGCTGCTCGAGTTCCTGTTCCTCGATCACAATCTATTGATGCGAGTGCCTGGCAGTCTGCCCACCTCGCTGGAGCATCTCTTTCTGCAGCACAACCAGATAATGGAGCTGCCGCCGCAGTCGTTTGCAGGCCTGACCAATCTCCAGACACTGGATGTGTCCGGCAATCGCTTGATTTTCCTGCCGGCTCTGGCGCTGCCCAAGCTGCTGACGCTCAACTTGCAGTCGTCCGGCGTGGAGAGTGTGAGTCAATCGATAGTGCACACACTGCCGCAGCTGCGAGACCTGCTGCTGGAGGATAACCCCATCAGGTGCAGTGATCTGCTAGCAATTGCCGAGTGGGCCAGTCCATGCCGCGCGGTCGATGTGGGTCAGCCGAGAGGGAAAATCGATTTGAAGCAGCAGTATCTGCAGTTCCACGACTTTTATGAGAACTTCAGCAGCCAGTGTGGCCGGAGGATGGTGCTGCAAGGACCTGAAGGACCGCCCACTTGCAGCCTAACGGCAATGGCAACGGCAGCGGCAACAACCACGCAGCGAACTATGCCAAAAGTGAAAGAGTCAAAGGCACAAGACACAGCGGCAGGGACAGAGGCAACAACAAAGCAATCAGCCGGTAACAACATTGCTCAGTTAACCACAAAAACTTTGCGGCCAACAGAAACAACTTCGTTAGCGAAAATTCAGCAGCAGCAGCAGCAGGAGCAGCAGGAGGAGCGGCGGCGACGGCAGCAACAAATGCCTGGCATGCCAACTGAAGCAACAACATCGCAGAGCCTGCCAACTTTGGCTCAGACAAAGGCAACAACAGTGGTTCCCATTTTGGCAATGGAAACAGCCACATCCAGTGCCACTGCAACAAGAGTAGCAGCAACAGCAGCAGGAACAACAACAACAGCAACAGCAACAGCAATGAATTCCAACGAGCAAGTGCTACAACCACAAACAGCAACCAAACCCATGGGACTTACAGTGCCAACGAACATTAGCGATTCTGCAAAAGCAGCAGCAACAACAACAGCGGCAACAGCAGCAGCAGAAACAGCTACAGCAGCAACATCAACAACAGCAACACTAACAACAGCAATTGAAGTGCCACAAACAATTTTAGCTGCACAAAAATCTGACAAAATGCCAGCTCAAAAGCGAACAGTTGATAAGGCAGATGAGACTTTATTAAAAGACTCGGCGACAGATCCAGCCACGACAGCCAGGACAACAACAGAAATGGCTACAAGCGACATATCCGGTCAAGCAGCAACCCTGGCGCCACACAAACATCCAACGCTGCAGCTGCATATTAAGGATCGCCATCTAATTGGCACACCCCTGCTCATGCACAAGGGCGACGTCCTGCTGGTGGATGCCGAGCAGTTGCTGCTACCCGGCACAGCCACGGTGGCGGATGCGGATGCGGATGCAGCATCGACGACAACTGGACGACAGCCAGCATCAGCATCAGCGTCAGCGTCACGAGCAGAAGCAGAAGGAGCAGGAAAACCGGCAGACGTCTTCTGATAAGCGGCAACCGGAAACAATAAAGGGCGACACAAAGTCGGCAACAAAGACCAAGAAGAAGCCATCGCTGAGCATCAAAAAGATGACCTACAGCACCAAGCATGCCGCCACGAAGATGCCACCAGTGTCCACAGCAGTACCAACCACGCCACGGACACAGCACCAGCACAGCAGTGTGAATACGCCCAAGGACGCAGCCATGGAAGAGCTGAGTACGTTTGCCCAGCTGAAGGCCTACGTGGAGCTGAAGAGCGAGTCCAAGCCGGAGCACTTGATGGACCAGCGGCTGGAGGGCCAGCAGACCCTGTCGAGCGGTCACCCCGGCGTGATGCTGCTGCTGGGCTGCGTTTTGGTCGTTGTGCTGCTTGCGGGCCTGGCCCACGTCTACCGCTGTGAGGTGCCCTGGCAGCGACGCGGCCGTCCCGGACAGATGCGGCCGCATCATCAGCGCCAGTTCAACGAGAGCGACGATGGCCACAGTTTCCTGAACTATCAGGGATCTGCGGGCAGCTGCGCAGATCCTGCACGCCTCCAGAAATGGCACCACAGCACCCGACGCGAGGCACCCTACAGTTCGCCGCTGCACAATCTCCAGGCCCGCGAGCTGCAGCGGGAGCAGAACCGGCTGCAGCGATGCCAGCAATTTTATAGCGCTTCGCTGGCCAGCAGCGGCTCGTCGGGCAGCAGTCGCAGCAGCCTGCAGTCGCCCAGCCACGAGGATAGCTACTCCATCGAGATGGCCCCCAGCAGCCCACCCGCTCTCCTGGGCATTGACGGCGCTGTGCCCAGCCTGCCCATGGAGCTGCTCAGCAGTAGCAATTCCCGCCGTGCCGCAGCTGCAGACAGAATGGCAGCCACCGACCTCGGTGGAGCAACATTGCCGGTCATTAAATCAGTGAGCAGCAGGCTGATGGCCCCCAGCTCACGGCGTCTGGGTATCTGGTGACAAACCGTCTTTGGACAGCGGCAGTACGCGCCCTTCCAGTAGAGCAAGTCAAGCGAGTAGAGAGTAAGGTCCTCCCAGTCGGCACGCCACCCTCACCCTCACACCCCTTTCCCTTCCCCGGAAACTGTCAGCTGCCAACTGTGCAAAATGAGTCATAAAGTTGAGAGGCTCCCAGGCGCCAGCCAGAGCCCCGGTTCGGTTCAGTTCTCAGTTCCGGAAACGACAGAATTTCTTTAGAACTTTCTTATCCAATATTACATATATTTACTGTCAGTGCGGCTATCAAAATTTGTAAGTGGTTAAGAGAGAGAGAAAAATCCAGATCAACATTCTAAAGATTCCCCGAAATCGGAGCTGAGAACGTTATTGCCAATACTATATAAGTTACATCGAGTTTGCCGCTCAGTTGATTTATGCTGCTTCGCCGCCCACACGTTGCAGGCCTCTTAGCGTTAGGTTAAGGCTAGCAGCAACAATTTGTCATAAATTGCCGTTACGTATACGCCGAGTGCGACCAAACAACAGTAGAGGGAGAGGCTGAGGCAGCAGCAGAGGCCTGGCCGCTAGACAGGCAGCCAAATAGCCCACGCTAGCAAAGTTTTTATGAGCCATTCACGAGTGCCCAGCCGAATCCCCTGCCAATTTGATGTCCATCTTGTGGTCGTATTTAGGTCAGTTTACTGGCGGCCAGCGCCGTGTGTGGGCCAGTTAACTTTATATAAGTGGCCTGTTCCAAGTTTTGCCAAGATTAAGTGTTGTGATAGTCATGCATATAAAAATGAAATATCGATCAAGTATTAAATAACAGTTTAGTTTATGACAGGCTCAATTCCTCGACTGCCCGAAGCCAGAAATCAAAAAGATCTGGCAGCAGATGCTGACCAAGGCGGATAAATGAGGGGAAATTGCTTGGCACTGAAATCTTCAAGTGAAAAAAGACGGACGGACGGACGGCCCACTTTCGGCAATGCACCCCTTTCGTTGAGCCTCTTCTAACACATTCAAGCGTCCATTGAAGCCCTCCTGTCTCTGTCCTGTTCGATGCTTGACTACATCTTAACCTTGTTTCCCTTCGGCTTCAGATTCCAGTGTTTAAATTGCAATCTAATTAAAGTTTTGCCCCCCTTTCTGTCCTTTCGACAATTTCTCAGGGAATTCGAGTCTCCCCCAGAGCTGGACACACAGCAACCCCTCAATTGCCAAAGTGTTGCCATCCGGCATTCTTCTTCACCCCATTTGAAGATGCCGCCCAGCAACCACCAAAACAATCAGCCCTCACTTAACCTCATTTTACAAATTGACCAACACAACATATGGTGTAAATCCAGCGCAATGGCCAGACATCTAATCCGCCACGCCAAAAGTGAAATGTTGTAAAACTATTTGGAGATACTATATATACACTCGTACGTAGATCCATCCAACGGACATAGAAATAATGTGCCAGCAAATCAAATTACCAGACACGCGGCCCGCTGCTTCAGCCATAGAAACGACTTTGAGGGGAGGACAAATGGGGAAAAGGAACAGGGACAGGGACAGGGGAAAGGCCGTAGACATTCGTACAAACACAGAACACAACAATTACATTAAGACACGATAAAAAGTTGTGCAACAATCTTGCGTCCCACAAACACTCGACCCCCAACCACTGAACCGAACTGAACTGTACTGAGCTGAGCAGAGCTAAAGGAACTGAGGCAACTGTAGCAGGAACTGGAGAAAGAGGAATAGAACCACAATCATTGCACAGCTTTTTCAACTTTTTGTGGCTTTGTAATTGGAATACGAATACAAGAAGAAGGCGCGTGCACACGAGCGGCGACAGCAACAGGAAGTGGCCGAAAGTGGAGCAGAGAGATAGATATGGGATAAAGTAGATAGACGTTACAACAAGGCGTTCGAGCGTACTCCTTGGGCAATTCTGAAGGATTTATTTTTCGGCCACAAGCCGAAATACCCCGCAAAACAAGCGCTCCGCTCCGAACAACAATTAAAGTAATGCTGACCAACAACCTACGGCCCGACTTGGGTGGGATTATATGGCAGGAAGACGGACCGAAGGATGGATGGACGGACTGCAGGGTCGGTCCGAGTTGAGTCCGATGGCAGGACGCACAAAATCTTAATTAAGGAACTTCCAAGTGGGCAAGTGTCAGGGGCAGCAGGAGGCATTTTTTTTCGTATTTTTTTTTTTAGGAGTTTAAGGAAACCTTTTTATTTTCGACTTGCCAGCTCAGCACAAAATTCGCCTACAAAAGAAACAGTAAGCCGGACAAGGACAGACAGTGGGTTCGGAAGTGGAAGGGAGGACCGCCTACAATGGACAGACCCAAAGTCCGGTCTGGTCCGGTTTTGTTCGCTTCGGTCCTGGAGCATTGTCAAATTTAATGAAGGTTTCCCCCACTCTTCTCCTTTGACACAGCGCAGCTGGCCAAGATTTACGAAGTTTTCCAGCCACGAAGTGAGAGGACCAACTCAAATGAGTTAATTCGATATTTGACACTTTGGGAGAGAGCACAGCACATTCCACACAATCTCGGTATGTGAAGGGACCCAGATCTCAGATCACACATTTCGGAACCCACTCCCAAAGACCCCTCCATGGAACAGTCGACTTTTGTCTTTGCTGTGCAGTTAATAAAGTTGGTCTAGGGCCAGGGCCAGAGCGTAATTATTTGCCTGCTAAATGGCTTTTGGACGACATTTCGGGACCGTAAATGGGGGCGATTTAGAAAATTATGTGAAAATAAGTTGCCTTTTGTTTGGCTATTGGCCGCTGGCAGTTGGCAGTTTCCAGTTGGCGGTCGTTGGTCGTTGGTCGTTGGTCGACGGTCGACATTTGTCGGGCTCGTAAATAACGGTACATAATTGCCCAGCGTCGAAAAATTTGTGGTTGGGCAACAGCCAAAAATGATACAAGCACCTCGACAGTATGATAGCACACAATAATTAAACTTAATTGCGCTGTACATTGGAATGTCAAACTGTAAAATATAGTTCGGAATAGTATTTACTTGTAGCGATTTTTGCGATACATAAATTTGAATTCTCAATATTGCATGTACAATTTCCGTAGAATATGTATTTAAAATTTACAGAAAAAAATACAAAAACAAAAAACAAAAACCAAAAAATAGAGAACAACAAAAACAAAGCAAACCAACAGCAAAACCATAAAACCAGGAAACGCAATTCGTGTAACGTTAATATTTGCATTTAATTTGTCGAAAATCAAAGTGAAATGCGATAAAATAAAAAGCCACAATAACAGCAAAAACTAATTGCCAAATATTTGACGTACAGTTTGTAGCGTTAGAATCTATATATAAATATATATATAAATATAGTTATTATATGTATGTTTCAGATATATACAGATACAAGGAAATTACAAAAAATAAAGCAAAAACAGTCTAGCATAAAGCCGAGCAAATAATTATTAAACAAATACTTCTATTTACAAAAACACAGCAAATATTTAGTTTATACAAAATGACGCGCAGCATTTTAATTAAACAACGTGAGCTCTCAGAAACAGAAACAATTGCAGAAATAAAACTGAACAAAAAAGAGTTCTCTGTGTATTTGTAAATATATGAATTAATAAATGTGAAAATAAGAAAATGACAAGCCAAAAAAACCAAAACAATACGATTATCTATGTAGCTGTTCGACATCGGAGTATCGGCCAGAGGAGCGATACTACAAAATATGTATGGTATATAGGTACACAAACGTACTTATAAATGTTAGTGTTAGTGCTGCCAAAATCGTAGCGTAAAGGGTTGATAAAACAGAACTATGCTATATTTGTGGAGATTAACAATAGAATTAGGAATAAGGCAAACAAATGTATTATGGATATAGCAAATATGAATAGCAATTAAAAGTGTATGTAAAGACATGGTAAACATTTTATGAATTCTTCTCGAAACCAAAAAACAACAACAATTTTAATGCAAACCGAAATCGAAACGGAAAACATGTGAAAATAATAAAATTGGAGAAAATTATTTAATTTGAAAGAGTAAAATGACAATGTCTCTGGATTGTTTCCTTTGGGCAGTGGATTAAAACAAAAAGAAAAGCTACGTACGATGGGTAAAATGGGAAAATTGCATATATGTATGTATGTACATACAACGGAAGAGAATAACCGAGTAAATGAAAATGAAGACAAGCGTGAAGCCAAGCAAATAATATCCCAATATGGCTGCAGCTCGGTATCGACTCTACATTGGTTATTATTGCCTTTATAACGTTGATGCAGCCCGAAGAGGATATTTACTTATGCAATGGCTGCAGTTTCGCATGGGGAAAGCGGATACATTTATGGCGACTGCTTAAATTTTAATGGAGCAGTAAGAGGAGCACTGCTGTCAAAACGGAACTTCAGAAGTCCTTATAAAATACAGCCGAAAAACTTATCTTAAAGCAACAAAAATGTACCATTTGGCTGAATCCAACTGAATAAATAAGGAACTTTTTACCGCACTGAATAGCTTCCAAGACAACCAATTAGAGAGACAACCAGTTCATTAGAGCACAACAAATGAAGCCAGAAGGTCTGCCCACATTGATAATGGAGATCAAACCAAGCGAAGAGGGCGATAAACATAAACGTTAAATTAGTGACACATGCCACAGTTAAGCTCAGAGCAAATGGGACTGGCTAAATTATGCCAATACTGCCAATACTCGCACACAACCCGAATTCGGTGGGGATGCGGAGCAGGTCTCGCGAGAAAGTCAAATGGTCAGGACTGAACGAAACAGGGAACATTTTTATTTCAAATCCAATTATTTCACATCGAAACTGCAATCAGATGATTGCGTTCAGCAACAGGAAGTGTTCACATATACATGCATACATACATACGTAAATACATGGGGATGCATGTGTGTGTATGTGTGTGTGTTGGTAAACCAACGACGCTGTGAAAATGGCCGACAAAATGAAAGTCAATTGGTTTTTCTTGTTTTGTTTTTCATCGTTTTTTTTTCTCCTCATCTTTTCTGTCCTGTTGCCCTTTAGTGGCGCTTTTGTTTCCTTTGGCATACATCGTTAGCTTGGGCATAGAAGGGTCCGGGGTAGAGTCCAGTCGAGGTCGTCCTCAGCCGGATGGTGAAACTGTCGCCGCATTGGGGAGCCAGACGGACCGGAGCGCACATGTCAAGAAATTGTTATGCGCCCTTGGACATTCGGTTGTATGGGCGGGAATTAAATATTCAATATTGCAGCGAGGCACACACAACATTCAATAACATCGAAATTCCTCAATGTGGCGGATGGCAGGGAAATGTTAACACAAATGCGTGCGCAATAAAAAGGTTAATGGTAAAATAATAAAAAATATAACGAAATTTGTGTCCCCAGCACCAGCAGTCCCCTCATATATGAGGGGAAACACGCGCCGACAGTTTGATGAGAGAATGTCAATCGAGATTAATTTTTTTTGTAACAAATTCCGAACAGAGCAAAGGTGAAAGGTGAAAGGGTATGAGGATTTCTTTTAGATGGGCTTTTTGCAGTTGAGTTATTTTTTTGGCCATATTCATAAGCTGAATTTCAGCATTTTCAGCACTTAATGCATTGGATGTTGGGCCTTTACTGATGGCAACTGCTTCGTATATCCAGCAGCAGCAGTAAGCCATAAGGACATTATCTCTGATTAACCCAAATAGGCACTGGAAAAAATTAAAGGAAGGAGAGACCACTTTGCCATGATCTGATTCTCAGTTCCCCTGCAAATTTTTACCCTGATGATGCAGAGAAATGGAAGAGCGAGGCAGCAGGAAGTGGAATAAAGGGAAATGGAATAATTGCCGGGGGTAACCATTGAACTGTTCATTTTTATGCAATTTACTGCCCGGGATGCCGAAAGTGAAGTTAAAAATGTTCGTCGTTGTTTTTTGGGTGTGTGGGTGTGCTGGTGTGCTGATGTGTGTGTGTATGCAGCAGCTGAGAAAAACTTTATCTAATTGATTTCGATGCTACAGTGCAGCCAAATGGGGCTCCATTAGCGCCAGTCAAGCAGAAAAAAGAATGAAAGCCAAACTTACGCTTTTTCCCCCTCGATTTTTATAAATATGCAAAAATTCTGTGGGTTCTGTGTGCGGAGCGCGGAGTGCGGTGTCCGGAGGGCGCAAATAGTACAGATACACAAGCCCCCACGCCACAGATAGCCATACGCATTGGCCCCTTCGCTTTAAATTGCATTCATTTTTAATGCAGCGGTGCCAAAAAGCACGGACACATTACGTATACGCAATGTAGTGCACTCTGGGGACACATTGCTTAATTTCAGCTCCAGTACTCCCCCTCGCCACCAACCCAGCCTGCTCTCACGCCCAGTGCGTGCAGTAGAGTCCTGGGAGCTTGAACCAGGGAGAGCCATGTGTGACACACCCAGGCGCACAAATGTCAAATGTAAAAAAATACTTCGCATTATACAATATACCTCGAGTTTATATACCCTTGCAGAGGGTATCGCCAACTTGGTTGCTACTTAGTCTAAGATTAATCTATATGGTTTTCAATATTTGATTAGGACGAGAGAATATTTATCTACTCATCAATACGTGATACACAATTAATAGTTGGTTTGTTTGTTCCACACAAAATATTAAAATGATTTTATTTATAGATTTTTACATTTTTGAATTGGAAGCAGAAATGACGGAGGTACAATTTTTTATTTTATATAAGGGTATTATAAGTCAGTCATTCTATTTAGTTTTTCGGCACATTTGCGAGTAGATAGGAAGGGAAACAGGGGACAAAAACGGATGGGCGGCACCACGGTGTGCGTTGGGTTGGGGCGGTAACGATTTCATTTCATGGTTTTGCACTCGTTATGACTTTTGCCTTACGCTCCCTCGGTCCCTCATTCATTCTCCAGCACCATCTCTCCCTTTCCCCTCTTTCTATGGGGTCTCTCTATCTGGTCTCCTCGCTTTGCTTGGCTTTTATTGTCGCCCAGCTGCGAGAGAGCGTCCCCAAAGTATGCAACGTTTTATGTTTACTAGAGGTAAAATTCCGCTCGCAACACACACGGGCGGGCTCTCATATCCCACACAGAGACATAGATACTCACACACGTGCACACACACACAACCACTATGACAACTTTTGTTTAAACAGCTTCTCTCTTTTTTCCGCTTTACAATTTAAAGTTTAATTTTTCGGTTATTTTTTCACATTACATATTTTGAATGTCATTGCCGCCAACTGTGGCCGGCCGTTGGGGCCCCTGGAGAAAAGCGAGATGGAACCCAGGTGTGGTTGGTGCGTGTTTTTTATGGTTGTGTTTTTTACTCAAAGAGCACAAAAAACCCCCGAATATGAATGGACAGAGGGAACAAGTTTTTTTTTTTGGTTGAATAACTGCACTGAAAATCCACGTTAAGTAAATTTAATGCTGTTAAAGCATGCACAAGTAAAAGCACAAAAATGTTAATAGCGATGGCCATAGGTGTAGCTGCGTTGGTCATCAGTTTAAAATGTTATTTCTTCTAATTTCGGCATTATGATCACGGTTTCAGTATCACGATAGGCCGCACAAGACCTAACTTTCCGTAATTTTCGATTCATGCATTTCATAGGCTTTATTCGGGTCCGCATGGAACAATATGCATGTACATCTCTATAAAAAGGTAATCCAAATATAATTCCACATAACAAAAATCTGCATACACATATTCGTCGCATTTATTTTATGTTTCATAGTTTTTGTCAACAGATTTCCATTTGTATACTTTGTGCCCGATTTTTGGATTATTTTAAAAATTGAAAAAGCAGAAGCAATCTACCTGATGAAAAAC